ATATATATATATTCTACCTTCGTTCCCCAGCTCCCAATTTTATCCCAATTCCTCTCCATCCACAGGCAGCCATTCTAAGATGCCTAAAGTGTATCTTTCTGTTCATACGTCTTCCAGTATTAAGTGATATCCTGTGGGCCTGTATTTTCAATATACATGATATATTTTATACTTTTCTCACTTCACACTAGGTTTCTGAGATCTACTTACATTGTTCTGGGCACATATGTTTATATGTACATACCTTGGACACATTTCAACTATCCACTCTCCCAAGGATGGAAACCAGTTCCCTTCAGCTTCCCACCTCCAGAATAATGCTATAACATGCACCCCTGCACCGTATGAGGATCTGCATGCTGGGTCACAGGAGTGTGCTTGCTGGGCACAGGGCATGCAACACACCTCATTAAGCTTCAGTAGTGGCAGACTGATTTCCAGAACAGCCTCACTGGTTACACTCCCTCAGGGCCTTTGCACTTGCTGTTCTTGCAGTCTGAAATAATTGTTCTTGGGCTACTGCTGATCAGCTCAGCTCGGTATCAGTATTCTCAGTACAAATATCACTGTCTCAGAGAGGCCTTCCCCAGTCTCTTAGTTATCCCCCAAACCCACCCACCCCAGGTTACTTTCCATTATTTTTATTTTTGTATGATACATCATAGCACTTTTCACAATTTGAAATTATCCGTGATCACTTATTATCTGTCTTCTCTACAGGGGTAGGGGACGCTGTCCTGTTCACTAGGCATCTAGCCTATCCCTAGCATATGGTAGGCTGTCAACAAATATTACTGAATAAGTGAATGAAATAATAATTATAATAGATAAATAGTACTGCCATATCAACGTATACAAAACTCTATGATTCGAAAAGCAAGGAACAAAACGGTGTGGAGGTGGGGAAAGCTTTTTTAGAACAGACCTAAAGGGCAGATAGGCGTTCCTGATTATGAGCCCCTTCCGCAAGTCCAGACGTTTATATCCATCCCTAATTTTTTTCAATACGTTTTGCCGTCAGGTGCAAATCCCAGCAGGTCCGCAGGGAGGCGACCAGAACCCGCCTTCCAGGGAAAACGAAAACTACATTTCCCAGCATACCGCGCGCCGCCGACCCACTTCCGGAGCCCGCGGGAAACATGGCGGCGTCGGAAGAGCACGATTCCCAGGTTGAAGCGCTTCAGCCCGCGGTGGAAGAGGAAACTAAAACATTTAAGGACCTGGTGAGGGTGGTTGCGACTGGTCTCTCTGTGTTGCTGCCGCCAGACGCAGGCAGAGTCCGGTTGCTTTAGATCCCAGCGGGTGGTGTGCAGAAGCAGCTGGGGCCTATCTTAGGTTTCCTCCAGAATTTCTGAAACCCGGGCCCCGAGAGCGCTCCCTTCGCCCTGAGTTTGGGTGGTGGGAGGGCTGCCGGACCCTGGGAACCGCCTTTTGCTCTTTCCTCCATTTTGGCGTGATGACGTTTGTATTTGCCTGGGTGGTTGTACATGTGATCGGCATTTTTTCCTCCTCATATCTGAGGCTTTGGAATAAATGAACCGGGTTTGAATTCTGAGCCAGTCACTTACTAAAGCCAAGTTGTTACCTCGTCGTACCTCACTTAACGCATCTGGAAATTGGGCCTATTAATAAGCAGTGCGTATAATTATGAGGACTAATGAAGTAATACATAGAAAAGATGAACTTCATTTCTGGTGCACAGAAAGTGTTAAGTCTTGAGCTACGGACTCAATACAGTTAAAGGGTAGGCTGATCAGGCTCACAGTAAAAGCCTTTTGAATCAAAGTGTAAGAGATGGCTGCACCTGTCCCCCGCACAGCGGCTCTGATGGTCGTTTAATTAGGAAGGAAGCTTGTGTGTGCTGTTCTTTGCTAAACTGTATTTTTTCTGAATTCTAAGGGTGTGACAGATGTGTTGTGTGAAGCTTGTGACCAGTTGGGGTGGACAAAGCCCACTAAGATCCAGATTGAAGCTATTCCTTTGGCCTTACAAGGTAGGTTTAACTGAATGTGTAGCTTGGTACAGGTTCAGTATGGAATTATACTCAAATACTTAACCGCTTTTGAGAGCTATTGCTTATATACTTCAAGTAAAATAAAAATACGTCACTAAAGATACAAAATTTGTGGCATATTGACCTTTGAAAAAATTACTGTGTATTACCGACCTTATTTTCTTTATGGGGATTCGTTGTCTGTAGCAGATGCCAGTTGTAAGGAAGCACTGGTTTAAAATGTACTAACAACAAATTTGTTAGAAATCACTAAGTACAGATTTACAAGGGTACCTGGAACATGTTAGTGTCTAGAGGAGTTGAAAACTCTTGCTATAAGACATGTCTTTTGAATTTGCAGAAGAATCGTTAAAGTGTTGGTTATTATTAGTGGGACTGAAACTGACTGGAATGAACTTTAATAGGAGTGAAGTCCTCCTCTTACAGATTCCCAAAGCCCAACTGTGCAGGATTAGGGTGGGTGGTAAAAGCGACCCAGAAATGTTAACTGAAATTCAGTCTTAGTTGTATTACCATAAGAGAAGGGTGACATTTTGGGGGTTCCTTACTTCTTTGAGAATCGATAAAAATAAAAGAGTTCTCCGCCAGAAAAAAGTATATCGATATATGAATAAATAAAATTTACCCCTTGCCCTGATTTTCTTTCCCATGAGTCCCAGGTTAAGAACTGAACTAGCTCTAGAGAAAGAACAGTGCTTTGCATTGATTAGAACACTCCTAGAATACTGTGCTTAGTTTTGGGGACCATATTTCAGGAACCAACTGAGTGGCAGTGAGGGTGCTCTGGAATCAAGAGTGGTCACAAATAGAGGAATTGAGTGCATTTGGTCTGGAGAAGAGTAGAGGTGGGGATGGGGTATGATAATTGGTTTTAATGATCTGAAGAACTGTCAGGTGGAAAAGGAATTATTCAGTGAAATTCTATTTGCTCCTTCCATGAATAGTTACCAAGCATCTGCTACAAGTATAATGTGCTGAGTATTAAGATTCTGTCCCCTCCAAGAGTTTATGGTAAGGAGATAATTATACATTTATTACAGGGGAAATGGGGACATAAGAAATTTAAGTTCAAAGTGCCCCGAGGGGAGTAGAATAGATTACTTCTATTTGAATGGATTATTTCATTTTATTTTTCGGCTGAGTAGGTTGGAAAGACATTCGAGGTGAAACTTGAAATGATGGGAAGGGAGGACTTCCTAGGCATGGAGAACAACATGAAAAAAGCCAAAGAGGTGGGAAAACATGGGCACATGTGGAGACCTGCAGATACTTAACAGAGGACTGAAAAAGATGGAGTAATGTGGTTGTGGCCAGATTACGCAGGACTTGAATCCTGAATATAGGAATTTTGTCTTTGTTGCATAGGCAGTGGAGCAATTTGGAGATCCTTTTTTAGCTGAAGAATGAAATACTTAGAGCTGTGTTCTTGGATGATTGATCTCATAGCTGTGTAAGGTGGTTTAGAGATGAGGAGATTGGAGGCTGGGAGACTAATTAGGATGTCATTGCAATAATTTTGGCATTAAATTAGGTGTAGGGTAGTAGTAGTAGGAATGAAAACGAGAAAATGATTGAAAAAGAATCAGTGATTTTACAACCAGTTTGTTAAGTGAAAGACAATGGGTGGGGAAACCTAAGATGATTGTAAGGTTTCTAGCCTGTGTGTTTAGAACATTATTGGTTTAAAACTGATACAATAAAGGAACACAGGAGGAAAAATGAGTTCAGTTGGAAAGAATTGATTTCAGGTATCAAAGAGAGTTGATTTATGCATAATTGGAATGAGGGATTAGAGTTTGATTAAGAGGTCAGAACTGGATAAACACCATATCCAAATAAATGGTGAGATTCTATCCAAAGAGAGATTATAGCTGAAACTGACAATGGGTGAGGTTGCCAAATGAGGTCAAGAGATGACGGGAGAAATGGAGGCCCATTAGAAGGTTGAAAATCGTGAGAGTGCAGTTGCACACAAACTAGGTAAGGGTGATCGTAAACACTTCCAACTTGCTCTGAGAAGCTAGGAGGAAAAGTACTGTAAAGGCCATTAGTGGGGGAGAAATTTCAGCAGTACCAGAGTTGTTTTCAAACAGCAAAAAGAAGGGTTGGCACATTCTGACCTTTTCTAGCTTAGCATGCAGCACATATGGGAAGAAGGAATCAGAATTAAGTGATGGTGATAATTCTAAAATTCATGTTTTCAGTCAAAAGTTTTGTATTTAATGCAGAGAAAATAGGAGTCAGTGAAAATGAAAGCTTACTAGGAGCAACGAGATTGACATAATCACCATGGAAATTGTCTTCATTGTTATTATTGAACTTGTCTCACTTTAATGAACAGTTTACACATGCTTCATTTGAATCTGTAGATTCTGGCCCTAAATAAATAATTTAAATAATCTAACAACATTTTTCTTTTTTCTTCTGTTAATTAAAATTTTTAATACTAGTTATAGTGTCAGTTCATACAAAGTTACTGAACCCTGTGTTCATCCATTGTTCCATTGTTCTTAAATCATAATAATCCTAAAAAGTGGGAATGATTATTTTATTGATGAAATCAAGGCTCAGGGAGTTAAGTATCTTGTCTAGAGTTATGAACAATTTTGATTGGAGCTAGAATTTGAATGTGCAGTTATCTAGCTGAAAAGCCTTTGTTTTTGCCCCTATATCACATAGTGTTGCCCTAGAGAGATCAAAATCTTTTGATGGTTTTTTTGAGGATTCTTTCCTTCCCATCTGTTTCATGTATTCAGTTTATTTCTATTTCAGAGATCATCTCGGGTTCTTTAGGAATTTCAGACTGTGTTTTGAGTGGCTGCCATACACCACCCAGTGGTGTTAGGTGCTGGCCGTGTGGCAGGTGAACATGAATTTATTCTGCTTTCATGGGGTTGTGTACTCTACACAGATATTCCCACTAGTAAAGGCTTAGAGGTTGTGAGAAGCAGAAGATAGAGAAAAGCTGATGCATTTCACAAACTGAGCCTGGCTGTGAGCAGCAGGTCATAAAAAACTGAAAGCAGTGTAAGCTTCGGCTGGTGGCCAAGGGCATTGCTCACAGCCACATGAATTGAGCGAGTTAAACTCCTTTACTTGCCTAAATCTTTCTTATGTGCTCCTTTCTTCTGAAACTTTAGAATTTCCCTTGAGAAGTAAAGGAGGACAGATCCTAGTGTTTTTTCCTGTTCCTGAGGCATGTTGTGGGACACAGGCAGGGAGGGCAGAATCCCCCCAGAGTTGGGGAATAAAAACCTTTGGAAGTCCTTAGCTCACAAATAGGTGGTGCTGTTGCAATTCATTGTCACCTACCCTACAACCAAGGGGAACATTATAATTAGTAGATAAGTGATAAATTTTATCCCTGTGTTGTCTATTGTTTCTGTACCTTTTACAAAATTAGTCCCTTGTCTGGTTTGACTTAAAATTCACATCTTCACATGTACTTTTCTATAGAAAAGACTGATATTAATGGATGGGAGGTTAAAGAGTAGAATTCCCTAAAAGATTGTTTGGTCTGGCACGGCAGATCCTAGTTTAATGAATGTCTAAGAGGAAGGATATTGAAAAGTCAGTTCTGTTTGATATCTATCACTTTTTTGAAGCTTTATTGCTCCTTAATTTCAAGTGAATATTGTCTTCTTGTATCTTTCTAGCCATTCTTAAATTCTTCTGGTTCCTTTCCCTTTGCCTCGCAATGTTAATTCTATCTTCATCCTTTTTTTCCCACTAAGATGCTGCTGAGATTTCTCATCCAGTCCTGAGGCTGGAACACTCTCTGCCTTGATGAGTGTCAGCCCGTGCTCATCAGAATCACCTGTGGAGCTTTTAAAACAGCAGAGATTTCTGGGCTCTAGCCCAGATCCACTGAATCGGAATTTCTAGCTGTGTGACCCAGCTTGTATAGGTGGAAAAACTCCATAGTTTATTCTGATGCGTCTTCTCCTAGGGAAGCACCACTATTAGGATGTTCAGGGCTCCCATGGCTGTATTTCTAGTTCACACTTTTCTTCTGAGCTCCAAGCAAGTGTGTCCAACTGACTTTTAGATACTTCTCTCTGAACCTACCGCAGAAACCTCAAGTTCCTTATGTCCAAACGAGATCTCCCTTTGCCTTGCAATGTTAGTTTTCCTCACGAGAGCTGATTTTTCTGTAGCCCCTCTCTCAGTTTATGGCCTTTGAGTTTCTCAGGCTAGAAATCTGTGTGTCAACCACATTTTCCTTCATTACTCTCTACATCTCACTTGTTCCCATCCTTCCTGACTTCCTTCAGTTCAGGCCACCATCATAACTCCGCCGTGTCCTAATTGAGCTCTCATTTCCCAGTCAGTTAGGTCATGTTAGCTTATAAGGAAGAATGTCATGTTCAGGCCACTTGAGGGAAAAGCAGTTTATTGTAGGGCTAATCTCTAAGGAAGGCAACCTCAGCAGTCATTCAATCAAGGACTAGTGTTAGTATTGACTGTGGAGGTCATAATTGATAGGAAGCAGCCCCATTGGGCACACCCACCTTGTGAGCTGCAGCCAGTGTACAGAAGATGGTCTTGGCTTGGAAATTAATTAAAAAACAGATCTTCTCAGTTATGGCTTGATCAGTGATAGCAAACCCTGGGGTCCTCGTCTTAAGGAATTACTAAGGCATTCTTCCCTCCTAAGAAACAGTGTAGATGGCTTGTACTGTTAACCTGATACCATCAGGCCAAATGTACCTTCTTATGGAGGAACACTGATAGTGCTTTTCCCTGGGTAAAATCTGTCGGTTCCTCTCTCTTACAGGAAGACATCCAGACTCCTCAGCAGGCTTGTTCCTTCCAGCCTTGTGCTTCTCCCTTCACCCCGAACCATGTCTGTGTTCCAGCCACATTGTACTTCTTACTCTCACTCTCCCCGCGCATGTGTTCTTTAAAGCCTCCATTCCCCTTTCTCTTACAGGAATGTCCTTTCTTTCTTTGCTTACTTCCAGATTCAGTCTACCCATCACTCCCGTCAGCCTTTTCTGACTCCTCCGGGCTGGAAGTTGCTGCCTCCTTTGCATTCTCCCTGTATGTTCTTGGAGCCTGTGTTAAAACCCTTATCACATTAGAACAGACTTATGTATCTGGATTTTGAGCTTATCTAGGAAGAGACATGTCTTCTGTCTATTCAACCTTCCTCTCCCTGCAATTCATCAAATATTTATTCATTGTCTACTCTGTGCCCAGCATTGTACCATTGTAGAAAATGTGAAAATTAACGCAGAACGGTTTTTTGCTGTTAGATGCTCTTTTCTTCTAGGTCGGGATATCATCGGGCTGGCAGAAACTGGCTCTGGAAAAACAGGAGCCTTTGCTCTGCCCATCCTGAATGCGCTGCTGGAGACGCCCCAGCGTTTGTTTGCCTTAGTTCTCACCCCCACGCGGGAGCTGGCCTTTCAGATCTCAGAGCAGTTTGAAGCCCTGGGGTCTTCTATTGGGGTGCAAAGTGGTAAGTGTCTGGGAGGAAAGGAATCTTGGAGTTTCTTCACAAGTTATTCTATTTCTAAGTATGAAGGGAGAATGGAAGGATGGAAAGATTGTTAACTTAAGCTCACTTGACCTAAAGAACTTACTGGGTATTTTTAGCTTTGGGGAAGTTGTGATTTTTTTTTTTTTTAAGGGGAAGAGTGTTTCATCCTTTATTTTCAAGGAAAGTCTACATTTTATCAAAACAAACATTTGTTATATCATTGAGTACAGAGCTCACACAGCAAACATTTCACCATTTTTATCACGTATCGGATGATCTAGAATCAAAATCGTCTTAACAGGCTTATGCCTTTCACTGCTTCATGACAATCACGTTACCATATTTTAGTGACACACTCTATCTAGCTTTAAGGTTTCCTTTTGAGTAAAAATGAGACCTAATAATTTTTAACCGAACATGTATATATGCTATTGCTTGTAATAGGATCCATAAACACTATACTAAGACTTAGCATTTAGGCATGAAACATGTCTAAAACCTCTGAAGAATACTCTAGAAATAAGCAAGACATCTATAATGCTTTAATCTTTCCAGGTACCACCATTTATATCAGTAACTGCAATGCTGTAACTTTCAGCATTTCACATAACTAGTTGGGATATATATTTATTTAAGGGTGGGAGTAAGAACAGAAGGACAAGAGATACAAGTGTCAGGTTTCACAGTTCTGTTAAAAGCTCAAAAATCAAAACTGTTGTCTTTTCTGCATCAAAACTGTGCCACAAACTTGAAGGCTGTTTCAGCTTTAATCCCATGACTCATCACCTACTGGATTGGGAGCTTGTAATGAAGAAAACCCTGTTGTGTTGAAAGTGCTCTTGCCCTGGTAATTCTTTCTAGTATCAACTGATGCAAACACATTTCCTCTTGTACTACCACTGGGGCCTGGAACGTGTACTACAGGCAATTTCTTCCAACCATGCAGGAACATCTGTTGAGCATCTGACAATACTTTCACCAGAGGCTGTGCGAAATGGTTATCTGATTCAGGATCAAAAAAGGAAATAGCTCTGCCAGTATTTTCACAACAACCAGTACGTCCAGTTCGATGGACATATTCCTCAATGGTAGAAGGAAGATCAAAATTGATAACATGTTGAACATTTTCAATATCCAGCCCTCTGCCCGCTACTGAGATAGCAACAAGAACCGGGCACTTTCCACAGCGAAAATCCCCTAGACTCTGCTCTCTCTCTCTCTCTCGCTGCTGCCAGTCACCATGAATACTTGTTGTTGATATTTTCTCTTGACAAAGAAAACTGGCAATAAAATCTGCTCTTTTCTTAGTTTCAACAAAAACCATGGTTCTTTCATCACCTGTGTTTAGTAGAATTCCAACAAGTTTCTCTCTTTTTGAGTACTGGCCAACTGGGAGAATGATCTGCTGAACATCTCTACATGCTCTCCCCACTTGTCCAACCACAACAAACAAGTAATTCCGCTTCAAAAACTTCCCAGCCAACCTCTGAATTTCTCCTGGAAATGTTGCACTAAACCTAATGGTTTGACACTGCTCCTTTGGTGGCATTCCTGGGCAGGAAATTAACTTTATCATTTCTGGTTCAAAGCCTGTATCCAGCATGCGAACAGCTTCATCCAAAACTAAGTATCTGATTTGTCCGAGACCAATCTTTTCTTTGCCTATGATATCCATCAGTCTTCCAGGAGTAGCACACAATATATTACAGCCTTGCACTATCTGACGGACTGAATGCCCAAACTGGGTTCCCCCATATATAGCAACAGCTCTTACACAAGTCCCAAAAGAAAATTTTCTGGCTTCCAAATAGATCTGCCTGATTAATTCTCGAGTTGGTGCTACAATAATACACTCGGATTCCTGCAGCTCTTTAAAACAACTGGCAGTTATTCCAGCACTCATCATATGAGCCAAAATTGGCAAGAGAAACGCGCAGTCTTTCCAGACCCTGTTTGTGCACAAGCTATCAAATCTTGTCCTGCTAGGATAATAGGAATACTGTATTTCTGCACAGGAGTAAGCTTAGTATAACCAGCTTTAGCAATGTTGTCATTCAGTGTCTGACAGAGATTAGCTTCTTTAAAAGTTAGAATTGGTGGTGGTGCATTGGGTCCGGATACCTCTACAAGAATACAATCGTATTTGCCAAAGTTTCTCCCTAGTTGATAATGTGCAAAGATGGACTCCTCATCCTCAGGTGAAGGAGGTGGTATATAGGTTACTTTTGGTCCTCGTCGACTTCCTCTGCTACCTCTGCTTTGGTAAGTGTCACCGTGACCTGGTGATGAAGCTGGAGTCCTGTTAGAAGTGTCTCCATTTGCTCCAGAAGAATATGTATCCTCAAATACAGGAACATGAGAATACATAGAAGATTTGATAATTTCTGCTTCCCGGTCTGCATCTCCCATTGTGGCTTCCAGTTCTCTCCATGGCTTGTTGTCCGGTGGTTCTCAGTGGCACAAACGCCGCTTGGGAAGTTGTGATTTTAAGGGGAGAAATATAAGTAGAAATGTAGTATTGACTTTAAAAGATGTTCAGTGGAAAAAATTAAGGATCTCTTTCCTGTATTCTTTGATTTCTGTAGCTGTGATTGTAGGTGGAATTGATTCAATGTCCCAGTCCCTGGCCCTGGCAAAAAAACCACATATAGTCATAGGTGAGTAATCAGCAAAGGTAAACGACATGGCAGTGATGAATTGGAGAAAATGTACTGTTGTTGGGTGTAACTTATTTGTGTGCAGAGACTTTGAAGAATGTATATTCGTTACCCTGTTTAATTTTTTGGATTTTTGAAAATTCGGGATGGGGGTGGTTGGTAACTTTCTTCCTATTTTGTAAACATTATCCTTTCTCTTCGACCTTGCTTGGTAGCCACTCCTGGTCGACTGATTGACCACTTGGAAAATACAAAAGGTTTCAATTTAAGAGCTCTCAAATACTTAGTCATGGATGAAGCAGACCGAATATTGAATATGGATTTTGAGACTGAGGTGAGCTCTCGATTTCTTTTCTCCTCTTAGAGCATCTGCCCTGTTTGAAGATGTGATCCATTGCATATCTGCTCTGTGTGGAGTACTGTATCATTATCAGTTCATTTAAACATCTCTGCTACCTTTTTTCCTTCTTGGTGCTCTTCACACTGTCAGTGCCTCAGCATCCTCTTTAGAAAATGGTCTCCCTCTGATTTCAGAGATGGGAAATAACCAGAACGAGATTTTCCTTTCCATTTCTTTAGATTTAGACCTTTTTCCATACACCTTGAAATGTCTTTTATTTTCCTTGATGACCCACTCATTATAGCTTAATTAGTTGATCAATACTTAGTCTAGACTTTTCTCTTAGATTAGTTCTAAGTTGACTGCTTTTTCCTCTGAATGGCATAGTTTTTTCGATTGCCTCTGGTATCAAATAGTAAATATTCAGTAAATTTAAGCTGAATTAAATTGAATTTTTGAGTCCTCAAATCCCCAGTGAAGTATTTAGTTTGTTACTTACCCTCCTTCACACAGAGCGCCTCTGGGTGTCTGGTGTAAATGTACTGATACCCTTTCCTCTTTGTGCGTTAGGTTGACAAGATCCTCAAAGTGATTCCCCGAGATCGGAAAACATTTCTCTTCTCTGCTACCATGACCAAGAAGGTGACATGTTCTAGGACTTCTGTCTTCTCCTTTATAAGAATTGATAAATATATCAGTTGATAATTGATAAATAATAACAATAATACAAGTAGGAGGAGCATTCGGGAATCAGTATACTAGTTCAGGTTTTCTTCCTTCAGGTGCAGAAACTTCAGCGAGCAGCGCTGAAGAACCCTGTGAAATGTGCTGTTTCCTCTAAATACCAGACGGTTGAGAAATTACAGCAATATTATCTTTTTATTCCCTCTAAATTCAAGGTAAAGTGTTTGCTCTGGTCATTCCTGACTCTCGCTCCCCTTCCTCACCAAAGCATCTGGAAATGTGTCCACTCTTGATCAGCTGAGAGCTGTGCTACTATTTGTTTTTGAGCTTTCTGTAAGCATGCTGTGCTTACATTTATCACTGATAAAGTCAGACATTCTGGGAATTCACAACACATTAAACCACAGTAATGAAGTCATGATAAAATTCCTTCCCAGTCCTGTCCTTGAAGGACTTTTTCTTTGTCTGCTTATTAAGTGGCTTTTTTGTAGTCACAGGACCCTAGTTTTGCACTTCAATGTAAGGACTTTTCCTGACTGCTGAGTACAGACCTCCTGTGCTTGGCTGGCTTCTGGCTTCATGGTTCACAGAGGTGGTAAAATGTTGATTAAGGAGGCAAAGCTGGCAGCTGGGGGCCTGGATGACGGAGACACAACCACAGGCTTACTCCTTGTGTAATTTATATGCCCAGGACTCCAACCTTTTCTTCCTAATTCAATTCTCTGTATTAGGATACCTACCTGGTTTACATTCTAAATGAATTGGCTGGAAACTCCTTTATGATATTCTGCAGCACCTGTAACAATACTCAGAGAACAGCTTTGCTCCTCCGAAATCTTGGATTCACTGCCATCCCCCTCCACGGACAGATGAGTCAGGTAAAGGTTCTTTGGCCTTATTAGTGGTAAACTGGTGGTAAGAGAAAGATAAACCTTAGAGCAGTAGATCTGTGCAGTAACAGCAGATGACATTAATGCACCTTTCCATGGTGGTTCCGATTTTATGGGCTTTAATATGTGGCTCTGGGCGCTTGCTTCCTCCTTGCAGGACAGCAAGAGGCTCAGTTTTAATATCCCATGAGCAGTTGTCTGGTATGAAAGCCATTGAGTTGATTTATTCGGCACTAGTGGTAACAGTGATTCTCTGGTCTCTAAAGGCTTTTAATAAGGCTTTTAATAAGTGATTTCCCAATTATCTTTCCTTCATGTTAAATAATCACTATTTCATGTTAGTGTTTTCTTATCCTTAGTCTTAAATGTACTTTTGTTCCATGTTTCCTTTTGACCTGTGAAACTCAGTCTTGGGAAAACATCCTTTTAAAAATCTCTTTCTTTTGGTTCTTGTATTTAGTGTGTCTAGTTTGTACGTTGTTGGATTCCAAGATTCCTTAATTTTCCAAAATAAAAATTCTTCTCATTTCATCTTCCCATCATCTCAGAGCAAGCGCCTAGGATCCCTTAATAAGTTTAAGGCAAAGGCTCGTTCCATTCTCCTAGCAACCGATGTTGCAAGCCGGGGTCTGGACATACCTCATGTGGATGTTGTTGTGAACTTTGACATTCCCACCCATTCCAAGGTGAGTCCTGTTGCTGACCTTCCTGGTCCCAAAGTGCATTTCTTTTTTTTTTAATTGTGGTAAGCTTGACACACAGATTCCACTAGTTTGAGATGTATGTTGCGAGATGATAGCCACAGTAAGTCTAGTTAACATCCGTCACCAGGTACAATGTTTTTGATGAGAACTTTTGAGATCTACTCTCTCAACAACTTTCAAATATGTAGTAAAGTATTATTAACTATAGTCACCATGCTGCACATTATATCCCCATGACTTACTTATAACTGAAAGTTTTGTACCTTTTGACCTCCCTTTTACTTATTTCCCCCTGTACCCCCAATTTCTATCCTGGCAACCACCCAATGTGTTCTCTGTATCTATGAGCACGATTTCTGTTTCTGTATTTTTTTTTTCAGATTCCACACTTAAGTGAGATCACATGATACTTGTTTTCTCTGTCTAATTTCACTTAGCATAATCCCTCAGAGTCATCCAAGTTGTTGGAAATGACAAATTTTCATTCTTTTCTGTGGCTGAATAGTACTCCATTGTATCCCAAGTGTATTTCTTATGGAGTGTTTTCTGTCTTTCCTTAGTTACACCATTTATGCTGATCTTTGTCAGTCTCATTTCTTGAGAAATGACAACTGGTGGTTCTTAGTGTATCTCAGGGTTTCTCAACCTTGGCACTGACTAACATTTTGGGACAGTGAATTCTTTGCTGAGGGTGTCCTTTGCATTGCCTGATGTGCAGAGTCCCTGGCTTCTACCCATAGGTGACACTGTGACAGCCAGACATTTCCAAATGTTCCCTGGGGAGGACAAAATTGTCCCCAGTTGAGAACAACTGCTATCTCTTGGCTTTGTATGTAACTGCTGGAGAGAAGGTAACTGTCTCATTTGAGTTTTACAATAAATGTGTGTTGGAATGTCTCCTGTTTTATGGATAGAAACCAAGATTCAGAAAGATTACAGGACTTGTAGACAATTGTATAGCTGGTAGGTGGTAAACAGAGCTGTGACCCACGTCTGCCTCTAGATCCAGTATTGTTCTCTGTGCCACATTGTCTGTACCCATGTAGATAAGTCTATCAATTAAAGAAAGGAAAAAATGAGGTCAATTTTGTATGACAAGGAGAATAAAAGAGATGAAGTTGATTGATTTCAAATTGCCCAGTCCATTTTTCCATGTTCCAGCATGAATCTATTTTCTTCAAAAGTTGCAGTGAGAATTTACATACATAGTTTTTAATTTATGTTCTGTTAACAAATTTATTTACCCATTTTGTTTTAGGATTACATCCATCGAGTAGGTCGAACAGCTCGAGCTGGGCGTTCTGGGAAGGCTATTACATTTGTCACACAGTAAGTAAGTTGACTTTAAGAGCAGAGCAATGTACAGAAATGCACAGAACTTTGGGACAGATTGATTTGAAACCTGATTTCACCACTTACTGTAATACCTACTTAACCTCCCTCCTCCTGTTTTCATCATTTGTAACGTGGAAATAATAATACTTTCCTAGCAGGGTTTTAATGAAGATTGGAGATATATGTGTAAAAGATCTAGTGTAGTGTTTGGTATGTAGAAGTACACGTACACACAAAAGCCTTCTTATTTCTTCCAGCTGTTGGAATCAGAGAGCAGTGACCTTGTCCTCAACCTAAAGTATTAAGAACAACTATTTCTCAGTTGTTTTTAAAGGCATAAACTTACGTGTACCCAAGGCTTTTCTGGGAGTAAAGAATACATTGGGTGATTTTCTAGTGGACTATACACGGAGACTGCATTTATTCAGTATTTTGAAAAGGAATGATAGATTCAGTATTGTTTAAAACTGTGGCTCCTATTGCATCATATCATACTATATACAGTTTTGTAATAGATAAACATTTGCACTGTCAGCCATCCAAAGCCATGCCAAATTCCCTTCCTTAGATACGATGTGGAACTCTTCCAACGCATAGAGCACTTAATTGGGAAGAAATTGCCTGTCTTTCCAACACAGGATGACGAGGTTATGATGCTGACAGAACGTGTGACTGAAGCCCAAAGATTTGCCCGAATGGTATTCAATTTGTTTTCTTACCATCTTCTATGCAAATGCTATTAACTATGCTCTGGATACTTTATTGGGTTAATCCTCATATTAAGCTACAGGACCTGGTATTATTTTATTCCAAACCTAAGATAAGCATACCAGCTAGGCTAATACCACCTGCATAGTTATTAAGGGCAGCTGTGAACATGAGTAGTGAAGATGAGAAGATTCTAAAGGAGAATCTTTGCTTGTGCTGTCTGCTCCCTAGAGTTCCAGTCTAGCCTGAAGAAACTTGGCCTACAGGGCACTTTCTGAGTAGCTTGGGGTGTGGGGACTTATTTTTGTCTTTCTGCTCACATGGAATTGTTTGATATTTTGGTTTATAAAAGTATTACATGTGCATTGGGAAGAATTCAGAAAATACTGAAAGGAATAATAGTAAATGAAATATAAGCCATTCCCCAAGGAGAGCCATTGGTAACATTTGGCTCTTTCTTTCTTTAGCCATAATTAGACTTTATCTAATGTATATGATTAACACATTTCTCTTTCAAAAAATACATATTTAGGAGACCACTTCTTAATGGCTACAAAGAATTCTGTTATGAGTATATAACATGATTTATATTGATGTCTGTGCTTTCTCAGATGTTTTGTATTTTAATTAGTATTGCGTTGAACATCCTAGTATGTACAGCTTTGCATACTTGCCTTGTTTCCTTGGATAGATTACTAGAAGTAGAATGGTTGGGCCAAAGAGTACACATTGTTAAACTTGGAATTCATACATAAAGCCAGATTGCCCCCTTAAGAAAAGCTGTTGCCATTTACACTACCAGAGGCAGTACGTGTCAGTGTCCCCACACCATGACCACCAAGATCAGGTATTATCATTCTCTTAAATCTTTGCTAGTTCTCCCTGTGAAAATAATACCTTATTTTAATTTTCACATCTTTGATTATTAATAAGGTTAACATTTTTATATATTGGGATTTTGGTCTTAGTCCTTTGCTAATGTGAGGTGTTAGGGGCTACTTAGTGTTCGAGTTGAAGGAAAGGAGAGCAGGATGTGTTACCCTCAGGGACAGTTACTCGTTTTCACTCCCATCTCTCTGTGTCCCTGCAGGAGTTAAGGGAGCATGGGGAAAAGAAGAAGCGCCCGCGGGGCGATGCTGGGGACGATGATGACACGGAGGGTGCTCTTGGTGTCAGGAACAAGGTGGCTGGAGGAAAAATGAAGAAACGGAAAGGCCGTTAGCCTCCACTTGCAGACTTGGTTTCCAGTCTCTGTTCTGTAAAAGGGGATGGAGGAAGAGAACGAAACGTCCTCCATGGAGGTCCTCAGTCTGGAACCAGTCAGCATCCCATCCGCATGTGCTCGGCTGCGCGCTCACTCTGCTCATTCCTTTGATGTGTTCGGTGCCCTTACCGGAGACTCTTGGGCAGTGCTGATGCCAAGACTATTACTGCCCTTCAGCTTTGGCTCCTTGCTAATGACACGAGTAGGATGTGCTCTTCCATCGCTCCACATAGAGCCTTTGTTTTTTTCAATCAAGGACTGGGCCGATGGAAGCACTTGACTCAAAGGGAAAGAAGCTCCATCTATAAACTGGTGAGACTTGAGCAGTCACAGCTGTGCTTCAGTAGACATAACGTTAAGTAATAAATTTATGTATTTTTAAAAGATTCAAGCTCCTTGAAGACCTTTATAGGTTGAAGGACTTTACACATTTAAGTAAGATCTCACTAATAAGTAAGAAAGTGAGGATGGCAGTTACGTGGCAAATTCATTGGTTGTCTTCATTTTAAGATAAACATTATTTATGGCCTTAAAAAAGCAACAAGGGTGGGCCCAAGATGTTGGATGGCTTTGAAAGGGAAATCCTGCTTAAAAGAATACTACATTTTTCCTTGGGGTGAAGCAAGTTCATAAGTAAGACTGCAAAGTCTTTTAGATCCTTAAATAGATTCACTTCTCTGGTTTCTTATATAGACCCTTATCCCCAAGTGACTAAAATCCAAGCATTAAAAATAGAAGGTAATTCTGGGATCCAGTTTCATCCACTGGTCATTTATGTCCATAGGCTGCTATCTCTGTCCCCACTGATTGAGTGATAAGCTTCAGGAGGTATAAAGCTGGGTGGCCCCCTCCTGGGGAGGAGGTAGTCCGCACTGGGGTACTGGGTGCAGTAGGGGAGAGTCGATGAAAATCAGAAGCCATGCTGAGCTTCACAGTTGTGACCAGCCTTGTGTCTGAGGGCTTTTACACACAAAAGGTGCCTAATCATTTCTGTTGACTATAATAATTTTATTAGAAGAGAGTGTGGCTGGAGTGGCAGAATCCTATAAAGAGATTCTAGTGGATTAAAATGAGAATGAGCTTTGGCAGAAGAGAAACTTTCCACATGAGTCTTAGTGGAATATGTATTTTTCCGAGATTGTGTCTTAGAGCCCAGAATGTCTGGTAAAAGGTGAAAAGCAGATGTCGGTGAAAGTCTGTATGGCAGTCAGGTGTGCACTGTTGATTGCAGGAAGGTCTTTGGAAATACAGGAGTTGGGATGCCTTCTGCCACAAATGGGTCCTCAGAGGGATGCCTGTAGCTAAAGTATGTCTAATTAATCAGAATGTAACACATGGCTTATTTTCTTGTTTAGTTTTCTCCAAATTTCATTGCTGATCATTGTAGTGAATTTGAGTGAAAGGTAAGTTTCAAGAGTCAGGAGGCAATAAGGAGAAAGGAAAGGAGGAAAAGGGTAGAAGAAAAGGAGAGGCGTATGAGTGGATCCATGCTCACGACTAGGTGTCGAGTTGCACTGGTCCCTGGAGGTGGATTCTCCCTTATGTCTTCCTGGTGGGACTCTGGGGTGGCTCAGCATAATAGCAGCTCTCTGACCAGTGGGGAAAATCAAATAGATGGTTGCTATTTCAACTCAATGGAGAACTTCAGAAGCAAGCCGAATTGAATCTGTATGGAAGGTGGGTAAGGAGGGGAGGTTGAAACTATGCTGAAGGAGTCTGAACTTTCTAAATAGGCAAGGGAGACCAAAAAGGTTTAAAAACTACTGCTGTAAAGCTTAGCTGTTGCCTTGAAAGTATACATGCAATTGTGCTTTGCTAGGATGTGAAGAGAGGACACAGAGAGAAGAAATGTGGACAGTGTGTCTTCAGGAATATTAGTAGGTCAGACCATAAACTAGAGTCCAAACAGAACAAGTAAAGAACTCCGTGTGAAGGGCAGGAGACATGGAAATAACTGTGATCCATTAGTAAATGAGGACTAAGCTATGGGCTTGTACCATCAACCAGAGCTGTTCTTCATGCCCGCATGTCCTCTAAGGCAAGGCCGTGAGGTCTTGCTGCTGAAGCCCTCACTGTGCTGTGTATTAGTGTCCTAGGGCTGCCATAACAACGTACGACAAACTGGGTGGCTTAAAACAACAGAAATGTCTTTGTTCACAGTTCTGTAGTCTAGAAATCCCAGGTCAGTGTTGGCAAGGCCATGTGCCATTTGGAACCTGTACAGAAGAACCCTCCCGTGCTTCCTCTAGCTTCTGCTGGTCCTGGCCGGCTGTCGTATTCCGTGGCCTGTGGCAGCATGACTCCAGTCTCTGCCTCCGTCTTCATATGGCCGTGTGAAAGGATACCAGTCACTGGACTTAGGTTGCATCATTATCCAGTATGACCTCTTCTGAACTATATCCACGAGGACTCTCTTCCCAAATGGGGTCACATTCTGGGGTTCTGTGTATACATGAATTTTGGGTGGACACTATTCAACCCAGTAGAAACAGTCTTTCTAGGCTGCTAAAGTCATTTGGGATTTGCATTGTAGAACAGAAGTGGTAGACAGAATTGATTAACGAAAGTGGACAGAAGACAGGAGATAGGTCTTGAGAAATGGTGGGACGACTAGAGGTACAGAAGTTTAAAATGATTTTCTCTTAAATGTAAACTGTCTGCAGTCAAGGTGACAAAGGCTCTAGTTTCAGGAGTGGGGAAGGTGGTTTCTGGCCTTTCTTCTCTTACTCCTTTCTTGGTATAATTTCTTGGTTCTGCTTCCCTGATTTAAGAAACAGAATATTCAAAACAACCAACTAACCTCTCCCTCAGTTGCAAACAGTTCTCACTTAACTTTTATGACTTAATGAAGGGAGTATCTAGCAATAGTCATGTAATGCTGGCCCAGAGAAAATTACCCCCATACATCTCATCTGAATCATAAAGCCACTTTATATGTTGTTCATTGTATTGTGGCTTCATGATACTAGCTAGCCTAGTTACACTTGCCCTGTGCAGAGCTAAAGTGAGGTGAGAATACTTCCACCTGTTGGAGAGGTACTAGGATTTCAGTGGTAGGGCCTTAGTCAGGTAGCTCTTCTAGACTTGGAGCAGGCCTAGAATTCCCTATGCTCTGAGGGGATTTGGGCAGTTGCCAGGAGGGGTGTGAACTCCACTAGATCATGATTTTCAGTCCCTTTATTGTGTGACAAATATCCTAGAACTTGGCTGACTCTGTAAAGATATCTGGCTTTCAGAGTATTTTCCAGGTAGCTTCTATGTGCAAATAGATGCAAAAAATCTAAATCAGAGACACTTAACCTATCCTAGATCCCTCAGAACCATGCAAAATGGGACCAGAAAGAACCTCAGGCTGTGGTATTGGTCATAGAAAATAGAAGCATCCAAGTTCTCAAAAGCTGGTAGCAAAATAGCATCAGGAAAGTGTGTTCCAAGGACTTGAATACAAAGTTAGGGAATACAAAGAAGTTTTAATCCACACCCTTCTTAAGGGAAATCTAGCCTCAGGGTAGATAATAAATTGGTGTGAGTCACCCCTCTTTAGCTGGAATGACAAGAGACCCAGACCTTGGCACTAGAGATTGAAGAGTTACCTACACCCACATTCCTTCTTATGTCTCACCTGTCCCAGGTATGCACTTAAACTCCAGCTAAAAATAACTGTAGAAACTTGAACTCTGGGAAATAGTACTGAACAATCTCATCTGGAGTAAAGAGCTGATTGCGCCAAGTGGAAGAGAGACAGGAAGAAAATGGTCTCATGTAATCTCTAGGATGTGGGTCCTGATGTCTGTTAATATTCTTGAAGTTTTTATATGCCCAAAGTCCACCTGACAACTTCCAAAATTGTCATTATCCTGTGCATGCCATCGAGGGGCTGGAAGAACCAGAGGGGTGAGGGAATGCAAGGGTGTGAAGAAAGTCAAGAGACCTGTTAGGTGTGGCTGTGAACCTTACGAGAGTTCCTGAGCTTTGATTTCTCTCGCTTGTTAATACGGAAATAAGAGCTTCTATCCTACCATCCCCAAAGTCAACCCTAGTCTTTTTTCAATTCATTTTGTAATTCTGTTTCCACCCTTAATTCCCTTCCTGTGTCAGCTGTATCCTAGCCACTGTGCCAGGTACAGAGAAGACAACACAAGAAAAAAAACATGCTATCTCTGCTGAGTGCAGTCTTAGCCTTGTGTTGTGATTGTGCTTGCCTAGAGGGCACAGGCCACGGCTCACTGGTGGATGTGACTGTAACATCTCACAAGGCCTGACACCCAGGGAATGTTCAGTAGCTCTCATTTTCTGAAACGCTGTGTCAGCAACGTTATGTGTGTTGTCTCTAGTTCTTAGGGCAGTCCTGAAAGGTGGATATTATCGTTTCCGTTAGGAGCTATGGAGCCAGCCATGTCTGATCCACTCCTTACTAGCTGTGAGATCTGGGGCAAGTTCTTCAGTCTTCCTGCGTTTCAATCTCCTTACCTAAAGAAACACAGTAGGAATGTCTACCCAACAGGGTTATGAGGTTTAACCCTGTATGCTGTGAACTATACTGTGGCTCGTCATAATGATTAACATCTGTTAGCCATTGTGATTGTCGTTATTTTTACAGCTGAGGAGTGACTAGTAGCTGGCCCAGGTCCCACAGCTGGTCGGGTTGGGGCTAAGTAAAAATTTGAAGCCAAATTTGATCTCAAGCCTCTACTCTTTACACTATATTGTGTGTGTGTGTGTGTAATTATTCATTTAGTAAGTACTTACTGAATGAACCATCATGTATATTATATACTTTTCCCTTTGGAAAAGTGTGTTCCACATAACAAATTAGTTTAGACAAATGAGATTTCAGACTCCAGCCTCTTTGCAAATTGGGAACAGCCAGGTGAGAGAATAGGCTATTTCATTTCTGCCCATAGATGACAGGACGAAGAAGAGCCAGCCCTTCCTGGGAAGGAGTTCTCATTCTGAGCAAGTGATGAACAGTGAGCAGCGACTGTGACACAGTAGCTATTTGATTAAAAGGGCTCTTTGTGTGTTTGGCCCACAGTGACAGGGATGGGGTGAAGGTATGAGGACCACCCACAGGTATCTGAAGGTGGCAGCCTTCCAGAAGATGGGGACTGGGGGACAGAAGTAGAGGGAAGTTCAGATGTAGTAAGGAGAGAAAGTACACTTCACTGTTCGCTTCTTCACAGTCCCAGTCTGTAGTCCCTCCTTTCCAGCTTACAGGCAGCTCTGCTGTTGAAAAACCCTGTACTTCCATCCTGGGATTTGATTTAGTTACTTGCTGTCTATTTACATCCTCCTCCTATCCAGTCTGTAACCTAGGAGAACCGTCATTCCGCACCCTCACTCCTTCCCCCCTGCCAGTACGTGTGTGTTTATGAATGTAAAGTCTCGAGT